GGGAGGGGAGAGAGAGGGACAGTACCTGAAAATGTTGTACACATTTAAAGAGGGATTTAATAGACACATTTTGCTTTATTTACTAAAGGTTTAGAGACTGTTGTTTGCATAGTAAAATGAATGTTCACTTTGAAACGTGCATTTTCACTTGGCTCATTTAGTAAAGTGAAGCTGTGTTCACTATGAATACCAGATCGCATGTAAGGGAAATAAAAACACTTTTTCCTACACATGATATAAATGAACACTACTCCGCTTTATTAAAATCAACCCCTGTGTGTCCCCTTTAATCTTGCTGTCTGTTTTTCTTTAGTCCTTTGGGAAAACATGTTATCTTTGTAAAGCTAAAATGCCTTTTTGTGTAATTCTTTGTCAGCAATTCTAATTTTTGTCAGCAATTTGGGGTGTGTCGCAAATGCTCATCTTTATCTGGAAGACAGTAGCGGTGATCGTACAAGAACTGCATTGATGTGCCCATATGCCCCTTGAATGGTTGTATCAACCATCCTGGTTGGCTGTTATACTGTAGTGTACTGCAATCAGGAGCTGAGTATAAGTAAGAAAAGGCCCCGTTAACTTTCCTCTATAGATAAAATACATGTTACTGGTCACCTTTTTATACATCTCTAATTTCAATATTTTGGCATGCTCGGAGGGGCCTGGGTGATCACAATTTCCATTGACTTTCTATTTTTTTTTTATTTATTTTTTTATAGATTTAAAGCTAAAATGAATTCTCTGACTTGGTTTCTCTTTTATAGTCCTGTTGACATGATTTTTAACTGATTTCTCTTGGAGATGCCTTAAAATGCCATCTGAGAAAATGTACTTCCTGTGCTCCCATTCTAGTACTCTATGCTGGCAGAGATGAGTAACAGCCACATCCCTTGGCACAAGTGTTCTCACACATGCATGTATTTCTGAGGAAGGGAGGGTGTGCCAGACCAGTTCTGTCAGATTACTGAGAGCAATAAGCAAACTAGTGCGTAATTGCTACAGGAGGAGAGTAGAGGTAAGGCTATTAAAATGGAGGCTATTCGTACATGACTTCAATTGGGCTTTAACTGTGATTTGCATGGTAGGACTATAAGAAACCTTTTATCAGGGAAAAATGTTATATTTTATTTAGGTGACCTCTGCTTAAAGAGTAAGAAATCAATTGTATGGTTTTCCCCAAAGATTTATTGCTTCATTTACATTAATTCTCAAGTCAGGGTATTAGGAGTATAAGGCTGCTGGTTTTGCTTTGTACAAAACCAGGACTATACTGTGATAACTTTATCCAAAATATCCTTTAGACAAGCTGCATTAAGGATTGTACAAACTTTGTACAATTTACTTTTGTGAGTTACTTGCTGCACATTCACTGAACTTATCCCCATAACAATCCAATTTTTATTTTGAAACCAAGGATTTGATTTGCTGCTATGGAAAACAACTTTAGTGAATGCATACTCCAAAAATATATTTTCAACCACAGATCCTTCTTTTTGCCATAAAAAGTTCTTACACATCCGTAGCATTGACTTGTTTACTTTATAAGTCTTGACTTTTTACTGACAGAACCAAATGTATGTATTACTTTCTGTCCATTTGGTAGCAATTGGCTTTGCATTACTGCCCAAGCTTATTCAGAATGTTGTGTTGACCATACTTTTTATAACCTCAATTTGAAATATATTCTTGTTTTTATTGTAATATAAATGTCCTTGATAGTTTTTTTTTTTTTTACACATCATAGTGCCTGCATCTTATCTTCAAAGGTATGCTACATGACATATTTGTTTTATGGCCAAGAGAAGTTAAATATAGGCCACTTGCTCCCATTTCAGTTGTAAGGACCAAATTTCTGCAAAGCAAACAGCAAATGCTCCGTAGTGTAAAGCACAACTACTGTTTATTGTGCCTGCTGTAAAGTGATATATTGTGGGTTTCAAAAAGTCCTCCAAGCTTCTCAGGTAGTGAGTAAATGGGTTTTTTTTCTGTAAGATCCAAGAAATAGGATGCACATGAGAAACCATTATTTTAGATTTCCTGGCTCTTGGTGTCACATTAATAAAACTCTAGTACTTATTAAGAACACATAAGGCACCTTTTGTTTCTGGAGCAGGCAAAGTGTATGGCGATAAGCACCTTCATGCTGCCATATAGATGGTCCAAAGTCCGATGCTGACCATATCTAGCCCTCTTAGACAATGTCTGCCTGGGTCTGACTCTTGGCACAGCCAGGAGGGGCTACTTTCTGAATGGAAGTGTTAGAAACTGGATTTTATATTTGTTAGATCAAGGCATGTTTACTTTTTTCTCACACGGATGCACCATAAACCCTTTAAGTTTTTGTACAATGGGTGCCACATTTGTGCTTTTCAACCAAATTATTTGTTACACATAACCGTGTAGGACCACAAAAAAAGTCAATAACGCCAAAGATTTTTTATGTCCACAGATGTGATTTATGGTGATCCTTTTAATGTTCAAATGGGGTTCATAGTGTAATTTTTTTAATCAACACGTAGCACCAACCTCATAAAATGTATTCTGTACTGAGCAGTGTAAAGATCTTTGCGATCAGGAGCAATGGCACTTTATAAATCTCCTTGACAAGGAATAAGAAATTCAAAGGAAACTCCATTAGGGCTGCAATAACTAATCAACATAATCGACGATTGAAAAAGTTGACAACTTTTTCAATCATCGATTAATCGGCTTCCGATTGGTTGGCCCTGTTCACGGCTACACACACACGCGCTGCGCGCCACACCTCCTCATGCTCGCCTCTGCCAGATCCGCCCGCCTGCATCCACACACCGCACTGTCTCGCCTGCCCAAATCCACGATCGGCCCAAATCCACGATCGGCACAGGGACGCGGGGAGAAGTAAGGAGGAGCAGTTGTATGTATAATGTATTGCTGGGATTTGTTGTATTCCTAAATACCTGGTGGTATTCTGCATTGCGATATATAGAAGACTACAAATCCCAGCAATAATACATTATACATCGCAATGCAGAATACCACCAGCTATAGGAGGAATACAAAAAATCCCAGCAATAGTACACTATAGCTAGTGGTATTCAACATTGCACCACTGTATAATGTATTGCTGGGATTTGTATTCCTCTCTAGCTGATGGTATAATATACAGCACAATGTACCATCAGCTATAGAGGACTACAAATCCCACTATCCCAGCAATACATTATACAGTGGTGCAATGTTGAATACCACTAGCTATAGTGTACTATTGCTGGGATTTTTTGTATTCCTCCTATAGCTGGTGGTATTCTGCATTGTGCTGTATAATGTACTATTGCTGGGATTTGTAGTCCTCTATAGCCGGTGCCATTCTGCATTGATTGCTGTATAATTTTACACTTTTCATTTCACTATATTGTACACCACACTTTTTTTTTTTTTTACTTCCACCGCTCCAAGCTTGCTCCTGTGATGGACTGCAATCTCAATACATAACTAGTAGTCCATCACTGGAGCCATTTTTTAAAATGTATTTTATTTTTTCATCTGATTAATCAAACTTAATAATCGGCTAACTAATCGATTTTGAAAATAATCGTTAGCTGCAGCTCTAAACTCCATCCTCATACAGCCCAGTACTGCTGAATCTGATTAAATTATGGGCTTAGCATTACCAAGCTC